AGATACTTGTAAACTGATGGGAGAGTCATGTCCTGTATGACTGTGATCTCTATCAGTTAACCCTTTGTTTTCTTTCCTTTCCTTTTTTCCTCAGCCAGAAATGCCTGAGGAATATCACACGTATCCCACCTGGGGAGCGGGAATGTTGTGCTAGCTTGTGCCTTGCCCTTAGCTTTCCTTATGGTCCCTTGTTACTTGGGACAGTGGAAGGACAGGTCTGTGTGTCCCTCGGAGCCCCTTTTCTCAGCTGTATTTGTGAGAGGACCTGAGAGGACTTCTAATCACTTCATCCAGAGCATGTCACTCAACCAACACCAGTTCCCTCCCCCACTTCTCTTGGGAATTCTGTAGGGTTTAAGCTCCAGGCCAAGTGTCTCTCTCTCTGAAAACTCCCCTGGCCCCTGAGGCAGATGGCACAAAGCACCACAACTTCCCCTAGACTCAGGGTCACTGATCAGAGAGCATGCTGTTCTGCAGGTATTGGTTTTCCTACCTGTCTCCTGTTTCAGGCCATGGGGAACATGAGGGCAAAAACCAGTCAACTTTATTTCTGCCCCACTGCCTGCAACTCATTAAAATAGGTAAAATTTAAAGTTTTATGGTTCAGTGATCAGCAAAGATTTCTTGAGGGAAGTGGGGCTTGAAGGGACCCTGGCTTGCAAAGGGTTAGGAGTGTTAGGATAGGTTGGGGAACCAGATGAAAAATTACAGCAAAAGCTGGGTGGGAGTTGGAGGCAAGAGAGGGAGCAGGAAGCCCAGAGTCTGGGTAGTCTGAGGGAAAATGCCAGAGAGAGCATTCACACACCTCCCTGGGTGTGCCCTGGAGTTCCATGGACAGTCGCTGGGCAGCTGCCAACCTTGGCTACCCTGCTGGACAGTGGCAACCCATTTTGTACTTGCTGTTTCTTAGCAGCCAAACCTGGAGCATGTCTGAATTTCTTTCATCGTTAGCCCCTGTGTGCCTGCATTTTACCTTAGAATAACATCCCTTTACAGTTTTAAGCCCCTTCAGGTCCCAAGAGCATTTTCAGAGGCTGTCCCTGTCAGTCTTCACCAGGAGCCTTGAAACAGTCCAAGCCCCAAGGTAATGGATGAAGCAGGGGTGAAATGGCTTCCCAAGACTGCACACTGGCAGGGGACTCTGCTGGTACCAATCCCAGGTCATCCCAGATGCCTTTCCAGTTGACTCTGCAAAAGAGTAGAGGTGGGGTGAGGGGAAGAGAATCCAGCAGGAACAGCCTCTCTCTACCTTAATGTGGGAGTTATGGATCTAGGTTCTCACCCAGAAGCTTCCATACATGCACTGTATCCATGGTTTCCAAGCACACTCCTAGGCCCTCTGTCCACATTCAGGGGTGTCATGAAAGGCACCACAAGACTTAATGTGATGATGTCTGCAACCTAGCCACATTCCACCTTTTGGAACTAAGATAGATACAGGTCTAAAATGGCTATTTTATTTTAGAAACTATTGTTCTCCTAGGATGATAGTTCCCACAAAGCATTGGTCTTTCCCTTTGTTTTGGCTGATAGCCTTTCCCCTCTCCTCATTGTGTTCCTGATCTTTATTGCTTTTAAATCACTGGAAATTTTCTTGCATTTCCCTCTATAGGAACTTGCATTTTGAAAAGTATTTCAGCCTACCAGACCTTCACATAATTTTTTATGGACATATTTTGCACTTACAATATCAGGGTGTAAAAAGCACATCTCCCCTTTATTTACAGGAAGTTGTCACAGACTTTTCCTGAATTTAAATTTGCTTAGAATTTAGCCAGGACATGCTGCAAATTTTGATTCCATTAGAGAACCGAAAACAAAACTGCATACTAGTTGGCCTGAGACCTCAATGCTTTTTTTGTGCCTTCCTGAGTGACAGACTAATTGACGGTCAATATGTGAATTAAAACTCACTTCCAAGAAAAAAAAAAATTTCTCTTAAAGCTCTCAGGGAGACCAAAAAATAAAGCCACCCCTTCTGGGCCTGTCCCAGCACACTTAGCTATTGTGAATAATTCTGCTTGTGAACATGGGCATACAAGCCCCTGCTTTCACTTCTTGTGGACATACACCCAGAAGTGGCATTGTTGGATCATGTGGTAATTCTATGTTTAATTTTTTTGAAGAACCCCTATATTGTTTTACATTCCTGCCAGCAATGCACAAGGTTCCAATTTTTGTACATGCTCACCAAAACTTGTGATTTTTTTTTTATTTTTTATAATAACCATTCTAATGTGTATGAAAGGGTATCTCATTGTGGTTTGGGTTTGCATTTCTCTGATGATGAGTGATGTTGAGCATATTTTCATGTGCTTATTGGCCATTTTTATATCTTCTTTGGAGAAATGGCTACTCAGGTCCTTTGCTTATTTTTGAATGGGGCTGTTTGGGTTTTAGGTTGAGCTGTAGGAGTTCTTTATGTATTCTGGATATTAATCCCTTATCACATATATGATTTGCAAATATTTCCTCTCATTCTATGGGTTGCCTTTTTTTCACTCTGTTCATGGTGTCTTTGGATGCACAGAACTTTTTAATTTGGTTAAGTCCATTTTTTTTTAATTTTATTGCTTATGCTTTGGTGTCATCCCCAAGAAATCTTTGCCAAATCCAACATCATGAAGCTTTTCTCCTAATTTTCTTCTAAGAGTTTTATAGATTTAGCTCTTACATATAGGTCTTTGGTTCATTTTGAGTTAATTTTTATATATGGTATCAGGTGAAGACCCAACTTCATTCTTCATGTGGATATCCAGTTTTCCTAACACCATTTGTTGAAGAGATTGTCCTTTCCCCATTGAATAGTCTTGGTACTCTTATTGAAAAATCATTTGGCCATAGATGTGAGAGCTTGTTTCTGGACTCTCCATTCTATCCCATCATTCTGTATGTCTGTCTTTACATGCATATAACACTGTTTTGATTCCTATAGCTTTGTAGTAAGTTTTGAAATCAGGAACTGTTATATCTCCAACTTTGCTCTCTTTATCAAAATTGTTCTGACAATATTGATTCTTATTCTTTTATATTAGTGTCTTCCCATTTCTATTTAAGAATTCAGAAAATGTATTATCCATGAAACCATTTTGAAAGAGGTACTCAGAGACTCCCTATAGTAAAATAAAAAAATTAATTCAATAAAGTAGAAACAAAAGATACATAAATTATACATGATTAATTAACAACAGGAAAATGCAGTCACATGTTGTAATTTAACAATGTAGCCATGAAGCTTAATGCAACTGTTAAGAAATTATTCTTCAGAAACTACAAGCATGAAAATTAAAAGCAATTCAGAGTATTTTAAATAATTTAAACAAAATATAACAGATAGCAAGGGAAGGGAATTACATTGAAATAATTGTCTTAAATTCTGTTTGGAAATTAGAGGCTAATATCTGTTCATCAATTCTCAAGGTAAAAAAAATTAATATACCTATATGTGTAACAAACAAGATAAATGCTAGAAGTAAAAATAAGATATATAACTTCTAAAAAAATTACAAGAAAAATAAGACCAATCAAGTCAGCTGAAGACAGTAAAGAAATTAACACCATAAAATTTGAGGAGTAGAAAACACTAAAACAGATGATTAAGAATGAGCCAAATACACCAGTCATCTACCTACCTTACTCTTAATGCTACTCAAAAAATAAAAATGAACAGATTAAATTCCCCAACTAAAGTACAGCTACTCTGAAATTGAATAAAGGATTAAATTTTATCTATAATGTTTTAGATAAGACACAGCTGAAAAAAAAAGATGGCCTAAAGAGGTAAAACTATAAAGGAATAAGCAAAACTATCACAAGCAACATTACAAAAAGAACAAGGAGCAGTAAGACAAGCAGTAGAGTGTAATTCAAGGTGGGAATATATACACAAGACCAAAATATTTTATATTAGTAATAGAAACCACCAAAAAGAGAGAAATCATGTTAGCTTCGAAATGTTGAAAGTAAAGCACCTATGCGTATGAAGATTGGTGATTTCTCCATCTGGGTGGGAGATGTGAAAGGGGAAGCCAGCTAGGAGTCTGGAACCTCAGGGTACTTGGGAACTGTGGGGACAAGACACATCATTCCAGGCCTCAGGGCACAACACTGGACAGGGGCATTCCATAGACACAGGCAGGATCCTTGGACTTCACCCAGAGTCTAAGTGTTATCATGTAGGAAAGCGGGGTTCCTGTACCACATGTGGGTCTATGTAGGGTGCCCAAATGTGACCTAGTACCCTCCCTGTGCCTGTGAAGTCACAGTCCTCCTAGCTTAAGAGTGTCCTAGGGTTATGACGCTTGCAAGAAAACTCTACATTGCATATAAGTAGGTGGATCTCAGGAGTCAAGATGCTGTGGCACAAGGTTTGCCCACTTGGAACAAGGTGTAGTCCACAGGGACCCTCTCTACTCACAATGCTGTTCATGACACTCTGCCCTTCACGTGGAGCACTCTGCATCCTGTCAGGACCAAGGTGTGGTCATCACCATGACTGCTTAGATACCCCATGGTCCAGGTAGGGATTATGAACAGCTCCCTAACTTTGAGACTCCTCATAGACCACACCACCCAAGGTTCTCATGGAATGTCAGAAGTCAGGCTTTGGTCTAGGAGTCCCTCTGGGAAGGACTGTGTACATCTTCTGGAACATCAGCACAGTGCATGAACTTCTTCTGTGTTCTAACCCACAGCCACTTCTCACACTTCCCCACTGAGAAGACTTGTCCCATGCGTGTATCCTGACGTGCCTCTAGATGCCTGCATTTATTTAAAATTTAAAGGGTGGGGTGGTGTGTTAAGAAGGGAGATTCAGAGATATGGGGTTCACTATCAAGACCATTTCAAGTTCACATTGAATATTTAAAATCACTTTTAACTTTGAAATATTCACATTTTAGTTTTAAAATGTATTAAAAATTATTCATAACACTGAAGTTTTAAATTGTCATTTTTAATGAAATGTGAACATTCTGCTTTATCCTTGTTGTCTTTTCCAGAGCCCTCAGGGGTTGTGGTCCCACACCATCTACTGGGGCAAGAATGGGCCATATCCAGCAGGGACGGTGCAGCATTGCCCTGGCTGCCTGATTGCCACACACCCCCAGAGAATCACACTGTCTGAAAAGTAAGTCCCGTGTTCATGGATGGGTTCCTAGTGACTGTGCCAGAGGGACAAAGGCAGTCAACACCTCTAGCAACAGCACTTGTAGTGGTCCTTGGAGAAAATTGTCTGGGAATCAGATCTAACGCCAGGGATAGTGTTATTTGTTCACTAAAGTTCATTCAGAAAATTATTAAATGAGTTTGGTATTGCATTAGAATAATAAACATTATTCTCAAAAAAAGAAAAACATGATTGTAGTAAATGACCAATAAGTGATTTGATTTATACGTAGTACAAAATTTACCAACTAAGTCTGTTGCCATCTGTTGCCACCATGATTGATTTTTAAACTACTGTAAGAGTAATATAAACAAAAGTATCTTATCACCTTCACATAGTATTTTCTTTTTTAATGTTTCCTCTTAGTTCTTATCCCAAAATGTAATTTTCATCTAGTTGATTAAAAGCATAGCATTGCTTTTGCCTTATGACTCCTTGAATGAACATTTTATTTTTTGTCTGCCTTTTATTTTGATAAATTTCAAATCTATTAAAAAAATGGAAACTGAGCACCCATATATCCTTCGCTCAGATTTACCAGTTGTTTACCCACATAGACACACACACATGCACACATGGAATATATATTTAGGTGTGTACGTATATGTGTGTTTAGTGTTTTCCTCTGAATCATTTGAAAGTAGGTTGCAGACATCATGACATACTTTGGCAAATATCTTCTAAGTCTATTGGCTTTTTACTTCAAAACTGTAGTACCATTATCACTGGGGAATTTAGCATTGATAAAGTAATCTTATCCAACATATAGTATTCAAATACCTCTGGTTGTTCCCAAAATATTATTTGTAGCTGTTTTCCCCTATCTTGCATTCAGTTAAATATCATGCCCTGAATTTGGTTAGGTGTCTTTAAATCTAAATCAAAATGCTACTTTTGCTTTTATCTTTTTTGATTTTTGACGTTGTTGAAGAATCTAATAAGCCATTTATTTTGAGCAGAGTCTCACAGTCTGGATTTTCCTGGCTGTTCCTTCCTCCCTAGGCGCAGACACACTTTTTGTGTGTTTACACTGCAGCAGTGGGTTCACCATATCATTGTAACCGGGCATGGTGATGACAAGTTTGTTCACCTGGTTAAGATGGTCTCTGCCAGAATTCTCCCTTATAAAGTCACTGGTTTTTATCCCTTGTAATTAATAAGTAATCAGTGGGGCGAACTTTGAGACCATGTGAATATTCTCCTGCCTAGCCCATTTTTCACCCACATTAGCATTTATTGACAGTTGTGTGATGATTTTTAACTAATCAGTTAATCAGCACCACATTTCTTCCCTGCAATAGGTTTCGTTATTTTTTTCATTCTTCCGTGGTTGTGAGCTGCCACACAAGGGGATATATCAAAGCAGTCAAGAGAAGGACTCTGAAATTAGACCGTCTGGGTGTGCGTCTGATATGCATCCCATCTCTGGCACACACTAACTGGATGACCTTGAGCAAATACTTCATCTCATAAACCCTCAGTGTCCTTATCATGAAAATTAGGAGGCAAAGAGTAACCCTTGCACGGGGTGTCTGGCAGGGATGGAGCCCACAGTTGGCCTCACTTAGTATTAGCTTTTATTATCAGTGGCAGGGAGGACAGGCTGAGTGCCTCTGGATGCTGCTTCACTCCTGAGATTTTCTGTAATCCCTGAAAGCTGAATAAGACCCTAAGCGAAAATGCTGATAATGCTGAATGACAGGGCAGAGGTTCCCCAGGATGTGAGTGGTCATATTTTTAAGTCCCTGAAGTTAGAAGGTTGCATAGAGATGCAAAATCCCCAAGACAGGAAGCATTCACCAGTGAGAAGCATCCTAATGGTATCCACTCTGCCATTCTGGTTATTTCTAGCACTCTTCATTGCTTTGCTCCTTCCCCTCACTGGGCTTGGATCTGCCTAGTCTGCTCGCAGTTTTGCCTTTCAGTCACTAGCAAGCAATGGGACTTTTTGTTTGAAGATTATTAGATGTATTACTGTGTAGATGTGGTCCCCATGGGTTTATTTGAGCTCCATTGTCTTGGAATCTTCCTTGAGAATGTTTTGGAAATTATACCAACAAAATACATGTTAGTTTAGGAGCTACACATGGACGTGGATAAGGCTGTCTTAAAAAAACAAACAAAAAGACTGCCCTTGGAGAACATTTTTAGCTAGAGTATCTGAAAAGTGCTTCCTCTAAAAATTTTACTTGCCTGGATTCCTTCCCCGTGACTTTTTGAAAGCACACGAGGGCTGGTTTCCATAAAGAAGGAAACCAGCCTTCTTTTTTGTAGGCATGCATGCTTCATCCTGCATGTTTCCTGGCTTGTGGCTTTCGAGGCTGAGCTTGAGGCCCCTCTGAGGTGTCACCCATTCTCTTACTTTCTGGGTGATGACAGGCCAGCCACCCTGAGGTTAGCCATGGCAGAGGATGGGCCCTGAAGACCCAGATGTAACATCTCTACATGGCCATTAACCCGAAGTCTCCCAGAAGGCTCACCACCGCCTCCTCCTCCTATCTTCCTCCTTTTTAGCTGTTAACATGTCAGGAACCCTCCACTTATCTCTGTGTACCTTTGATGAGCTCCTTGGAGAAGGGACCATGATATAGGCACAACATAATAGTTTACGGGTTGAGTGAAACGCAGTTAAAACCCAGATGTGCAGTTCTGCATAAACACAGAGGAAATCACTTGGGTTTCATTCGAATATGTGGGTGGAAATATCAGAGCTGCCTTCTTCTCTTCTCAGTGCATCCTGTGGAACTGTGTCCACTTGGAAACCTGAGTTATCTGGTCTTAAGTGAGTAGCATGCTCCTAACCTGTGTTCTTGAAAATTACATAGAAACAGCCAAGGAAAAAAGACCCCTGTGGAGAAGCCCTTCCCCAAAGCTTGCAGGTCCCAGGCCTTGCTGGGGGGACCTCCTCAGTGGCCTGAGCAGGTCCATGAGTCTCTGTCTTCCTGCTCCCTTGACTTCCCTATTCCTGGGGACTCCCACAGCCACTGTCCTGAGGGCTGCACAGATCTCTGTCTGGGTCCCGGGACCCCATTTTTCTTTATGGCAGATGTGATCAGGGCACTATGTCTTTCCATGTCCCTCCCACACACAGTGAGCTATACCTCCCCAGGAAGGACAGAGTCTGGGCCCTGAAGCAGCCACGGGGCTGGGGTGGCACACCCAGCCTGGGAGAAGGACAGTAGAGCCCAGGGCTTGATGTCTGCCTGGGGAACCGGGCTCTGCTCATTGGTGCCAAATGTGGAGCAAAAGGGTGGAGGTGCTGGGTGGGACAGGTATGTCCTTCCATCTATGTGAAGTCCTAGCCCATGGTCTGTCTGGTTCTAGGATCTGGGATCATGTGCTCACTCCCTGTTCTCTGGCTGGGTTGCCATGGCTTCCCATCTGCCCAGTGGAGACAGTTGTCCCTGTTGGGTAGGCCTCCCAGAGTGGATTTGCGATGATGTGCCCCTCGATTCCAGGTGCTGAGTGTTGGAGGGCAGGACAGAATGTTCACCTCCCTCTTCTACTGGTGCATCTAGCAGCACTCAGCACCAAGGATTCCATGTAGAAAACCCATTCCTGACCCTCAGGGTCCACACTCAACAGTTGCTGTTGGCAGAAAGGAGCTGCGTAGGGCAAACACCAAAGCCCATGAAGTCCTGTCCCTCTGAATGTCCTAAACTGAGCAGAATGTCCCCTTGAGCAGAAGGAGCTGCAGATGGAGGATGGTGAGCAGTGGGCTCAGCATGGCCCCACTGCAGGCACGTGTCTCCAGCTTCCTGTCCCAAGGATGGAATTAAGGTTCCCGTCCACTGGGGCTGCCAGGGATACACTGATGTGGTTTCCATCCATAGGCCTCAAGCCCAACTCTTGGTTACACCGAGGCCTGGCTGGGGGCCAGGTGTGAATCAGCTCCCTAGGCCTCAGTTTCCTTATCTCTGAAATGGGGATGGTGATGGTGATGGTGATGCCCTCCACATGGGGCTCAGCTGAGGACAAAGTGAGTTAATTCACGAAAAGTTCCCAGAGCTGTGACACTTGGTAAGAATGCTAGAAATCATGTTGTAAGTATGCAGACCTAGGGGGATGCTTAGCTCATAGTGAGCAGTGACTTTCAGCTCCCTTCCCCTGTCCTCCCACCCACTTTGACTCAGTTTTTATCAACAATTGCGTTGTGAAATAGCACAGCGCTGCTCTTGAGGGCACTTTGTGGTCTGTGGGGTTGTGTCCCTTGGGTCAGGCCCGGAAATCTGTGATTCATTATTTTTGGTCTGTTTTTCATGGTTTTCTCGTGTGCCCAGAATTAAAGCTCATTGTGCCCACAAAAGGCACTTGATACTCACTGAGAAATGAGACCGGCCTTGGAGCCCATGGCCCTGTGCCACTGACTACATCTTACCTCCCAACTGGGTGACAAGACTGGTTAACACCAGTCCCACCTGAGCGTCCTCCTGTGCCATCCTTCCCTGGCCTTCAGACACTCTCCTGGCCTTCCCGTCAGACCAGAGGCTTTTCCCCTCCAGCCCAGGATTGCTCCAGAAGCTGTGGAATCCAGCTGCCTGTGCTCATAAGCCTTTTATCTGATACTCACAGATAGGTCTGCATGTGACCCATGCACTCCCCCAGCTGGTCTTGAAATCCTGTGCTCACAAGCACACATCCAAGTGCACATCTAACGTTTTACATCATAAATTTAAATAGGGACAAAGATGTAATTTCTTGCATATTGTAATAATGACATTTTATTTTTTTAAGTTTATTTATTTTGAGAGAGAGAGAGTGCTGAAGGGTCAGAGAAAAAGGGAGAGAGAGAATCACGAGCAGGCTCTACACAATCAGCGCAGTGCCCAATGCGGGGCTCTAACTCACAAACCATGAGATCATGACCTGAGCCAAAGTTGAGAGTCAGACACTTAACCAACTGCACTACCCAGGTACCCCAATAATGACATTTTAAAACAGCACAGATGCGTCACTTTTTT